TAAGGTATTCAAATTTTTCTTCTCTGCATTTTTCTTCTCTGGCTTTGAATTGGCTTTGACATTTTAGCCTTCTTGATTGTGTTTATGAAGATGAACCCTAGGCTTGTGTTTGACATTACATTACATGGATTTCTTCTGTGGGCTTCAATGGGATTCTTGATGCCCGTGGGTATACTTGCTATCCGAATGTCTAACGGTGAGGCTAATCAAAGAAGGCTCAGAATGATTTTCTATGTTCATGCAATTCTGCAGGCAAGTCTTTCTGAATTTCTTCTCTGCTTTCCTCTTCATTATCACTTCCATCTGCTTCAGAATTTTTTTTTTCTGGGTTCTAAATAAAAACTCACTTTTTGGTACACATCTTATATTTACTGAGCCCAAGTTTATTAATATAAATCCAAGCAAGGGCTAACCTTCTAGTCTGTTGACAAGGACCGTAATGAATGATGAAGAGACAAGGAACATATTTTTTTTATAAAATATTTTTCTCTGCATGATTGAAAGCTTCTAGCTTTCTTGATTTGGTTTTGGAATAAGGGGTTTTGAAGGGAGCACAATTTAACTGTTACTGTGGCCCAACTCAAAGTCTGAGCTCAAAAATAATTAAAGCTAGAAGTGAGAACATCCCTATTAATCATTTATTAACAGAAATAACTATCTATAAACACTGCTTATGTTTGGCTTTGGTATATAATAATATGTTTTTCTTTTGTATTAACAGAAAGTTGCTGTACTTGTGGCCACAGTAGGAGCAATCATGTCCATAAAAAACTTCAACAATGCTTTTAACAATAATCATCAAAGAGTAGGAGTGGCACTCTATGATATTATCTGGCTTCAGGCCATTCTTAGTATTTTTAGACCTCAAAGGTAACTTGCTGTTTCAGTGATCCCTTACTTCAACTCAAAAAGTTAGATCACACACACACACACACAGCTGAAACTTCGTCTCAATTTGCCCTCATTATTCAGTTAGTTCTGACTTTGATAGTATGTTAATGACCACTTAAAAAGTTTCAAGAGAATATTTAAGATTAATTCAACAAATAGTATACACTTGAACAAAATGAAAGATTCTCCCCAAAAAGTTGGTTGTTTTAGGAGAGAATCTTTTAGATACTTGGTATCTCATAAAGCAGTTTATACTACAAAATGTAAAACTTAAAGATCTTTATATTACCTTGATCTCTAATACTTGGTATCTAGCTACCTTTAAAAGTTCGATTTCTGGATTAGAAATTGCTACCTCTTAGTTTGAGCTTGATAATATAGCTCGAACACCAGATAATGATAGGTTGAGAGACCTAGTAATAGATTTGTGCTTTGTGGACATTGGCCGGTCATACTCACACACAACAACTAAGAATTTTCTAATGCCATCATTTTATATCATCTCTTGACTGGAAAGCTTCAGTTTCCTGCTTATAGAAGATGAATCAAAAGTGCTAATAATGTTTTCAGGGGGTCTAAAAAGAGGACTGTATGGTTCTTTCTGCATTGGATACTTGGAACTGTGATTTCCTTCCTGGGAATTTTGAATGTATATATAGGCTTACAAGCCTACCAAGAGAAGACATCAAAAAGCATACGAATATGGAACATACTGTTCACCGTTCAGCTTGTTACCATAGTCTTCTTCTACCTTCTTCAGGACAAATGGGTTTACTTACAGAAGCAGGAAGTGATTTTGGGCAATGAATGTTCAGAAATTTGTTCAGATATCACGCAAAAGGAAGTGAAGGCTGAGTCTTGTTGAGAGGGACTTTTCTTATAGGTTTTAAACTATGTGGATATATATTCTTGAATAAATTATTATTGTTTTTAAAACAGGATTGACCTTTCAAAGATTGTAAACTACATATCAGTGACTTAATTCTTTTTTGTAATACATTGGATTTGATACTTAATATAAGAGTTAATTTGAGAGATTGACTTTAATCTCAAATATAAGAATTCAATACACTTTGTTTTCCAAATTTACAATTTTTTTAATGAAAATATTCCAATTGATTGAATATATTAAAATGTTCTGACCATCAATGCACGTAATTAAAAAGGATAGAATAGAGAAGTCAATACACTTTTGTTACAAATAACTTACTTAACTATTTTTTATAATATCCTTAAGTTAGTTATCTATTTTGTATATTAAGAAGTGAAAATAGTATTTGAATTTGACTGAGCAACTTTGTGAACTTTAAGCATCATTCATGTTAGGTAGATCAAAAGATGCAGCTAATTTGTGAGATATCATGCCCTGCTATCTATTGAGATCTTGTTCATGAAGACTAGTAGAGTATGATATTTTTAAATTAAAAGAGAGTAATGGGAAGTATATATTTACAAGAAATATTAAATACTCCTTCAATTCTTGATATGTAAGACTTAATTAACTAATTTGATTATATTAAGATGTTATTTAATTAGTTAAGATGATATATTTTTTTTCTAAAATATCCTAAGCATATTTTCTAATTCTTTCTTTCCCTCCCTCCTTACTTGATTATTATTGGAGAATATCAAGAAGAATAATTTGAAAATATTGATAAACATGTGAAATAGGTCTGACATATAGAACTGATATTAACTCTCTAATTAGGTCATACATTAAAGATGGAAGGAGTATTTTATACTCACTCTAGTTTTTTTTTACAAGACCCTATTAACTATTTTCTTAAAATTAAGAAAATTAATTAAATGCTATAAACTCATACAACATTTCAAAATTAACTTTGAATTAGTATGACTCATTGAGGAAAGACGGTGGAACAGCCAGAGGGATACGGAGAATTTTGGAGATTAGTTATAAATGTTTCATTAAATTTTATAGAGAATCTTTTATTAAGATTCAAAATATAAATACGACCAGAGCCGGTGATTTTTAAAATTCTCATCTATTTCATGATAAAATAGGAGATTTTTGTTCGTTTGTTTTGTATTTCCTATATACACTATTGAATTTTAATTTGTTTAAACAAACAGTGGTTGGTAAAGTGAGGTTTAAATCGTGTGGATGAAAAAAATAATCATGTTAGGATTAAAAACTAATTTTGTTAATACTCCTTTATTTTATATAAAAATAAATAACTAAAGATTCCACTTTTAACAAACAGGCTGTGAGGATTGCAGAATCCAATGCCAAGCAAAGAAAACGAAAATGACAGCATCTTCATTCTGCTGCCATAAATGAAGGGTGACAGCAACTCGTCTTTCTCCGTTTAGCTTCATCATGGACAGAGATCAAGAACAGGAAGAAGACGAGGTTGGATCTGTGCTGCGTTAATGGCGAAAGCTGGTAATAAACGCAGTGTGGAGGAGAAGCTGCAAGATGAAGGGCATCATCCTTACGCCTTTCATGTCTCTGGTCCTCGCAATTTCGCTGCCCTTACTTGCAGGGATCTTCTCAATCTAGTTGGTCAGTAGCCTTCTCAAATTCCTTTTTCTGGTCTAACGAAAAAGCAGATGAATTTTACCTCCTTTCTCATCGGCTTCATTGTGCGTTATTAACCACGCGAAGTTAACTTTTTTCCCCTCCCTGTCATAACGAGCTTACTCCCGGTTATTAAAGAGTTCTAGAATGAAAAGGTACAAGTTATGTTTTAACATAAAAATGGTTTTCAAGATTGAAAGAACTGTGATGGAATGAAAAAAAGACAGGTGAAAATGAATTCTTTTTTGCAGAAAGCTTTTGAATTAGAAATGGATGCTATGTAGTGCAGATCAGCTTTCCCTGTTGGTTATGGGTTTAATCAGTTATCAGCCACATTTAAGTTATCAGTGTAGGAACAGCCGTGCACTTTTTATGGATATGGTATTTGGAATTTCCTGTGTCAAGTCTCGTAATTTCTATCGATTGTTAATTTGTTGGTGAAGGGAGTGTTTGACAACCTCCAAACCATGATTTCAGAAGCACTTTTCCGCAAAACGAGACAAATTCCTCCACATATTTACTTTGTAAACCGTAAAAACACTTCTGAAACTATGGTTTGGTTTCTATCCAAACATTCCCGAAATGGGTTTTGGCGTATGAATGTAGTAAAGCAAAGTGCTTTACCAAATGGGTTTCTAAAACGTTCACTTGTTGTTTATGGTGGAAGGAACTATAACCAAATAGAAAAGACGTGTGGGAGTGAACCTTTGTTATTGAATCTGTTTGAATTGAAACACATGCTACATGTTATAGAATCAGTAAGTAAATTCTTATTGATCTGGATCTTTGTTTCTTCTTCTTCTTCTTCTTAAAACTTCCAACTCTTTCGGGGTCCTTGTCTATTGTGATTTTGAGATAAGCTTCTTGGATTAAAACCTTGCGTTGGAAGTTGTTTTTAATTGTTTTTATAAGAGAAACATTTCTTGTACTTCTGCATAATTAAGAATTTTAGATATTACTTCCATAAAATTTTTGACAAATAATGCATTGTTCTCTACACTTTAGTCGACCGAATCGAAGGTCCTCCATGGAAGATTTGCTCTGATACCTTGAAGAATTTGGGGTAGAACTGAACAAGTTTTATTCGATTAGAGCTCAAACATTTATAGGAAGAGATTAAGTTTAGGTTTGGCCACAGATTGGTATCCTGATCTCCCTAAAATCATGGAAAGATAAAGGAAAAGATATTCTGCATATCTAAACTATTTTTGGCCTAGAAATGCAGGGCTCAACAACTAAATAAATAAATAATTAAACACTTAAATAACGGCATTCTCCAACAATAGATGTTATGTTGGAACCTCTTATCCTCTTGCATTAATCATCTGTCTTCCTTCTGCAAAGGACGATCCTTTGTCAGGTTCATTCTCTCTCATACATCCAATACTCACTAGCACCAAGTATTTCAAATCCATCAAATTACTTGAACCTGAACAAATCTTAGTATTCATCAGTTTACAAGCGATAGGCATGATGCACCCCGGCCCTTGTGGCATGGAATTGGGGAAAAGTTTAAAAAGGCTATGCTGCTTAGCAATGCAAAAAGTCAAGTGTTAACAAAGAGATATAAAATTTTAATGCAGCCACAAAAATATATGTAAATCAAATTGTCGTCATTTTTTTATTTTAATTATTTAATTTTATATTTTTAACAACTATTTATTAATATGAGGAAACTTTTACGAGTTTCCAACACGATCCAAGTTTATGACTCCATTACGATCTTGACAGTCTTGACCACTGAAACTACCAAGGAAAAAAAAAACACACACACACACACACACACAGAAGCTTTACAGGAAACATAATGTAATGAGATTACCACACTCAAACACACGTAAACAAGAAGCAGGCCGAGAAAATGAAAGCATACATTGTTGTCGCCGATATATTTCCCCAAGGCTTTTTTCTCTAATACAGCTAGCCCAATACAACTTGTTAGAGCGATGCTTCTGGGCCTGTTACTGGGTTACAGTGGCCCTTCTCTGTCCGCAGCTCTAGGAGTAACTGGAATTGCATCAACCATATGAGGATTTGATTATGTAGTACCATTGAGGGGGAAAAGGGTAAAAAATCATAATCTGATGGGAAGAAAATCTCATTTTCTTGGAGCACACCAATGCGACTATCAGTGATTACGCACACCTCCTCTTCTTAATCATCAACTATATACTTAATCTCGAGAAATTGTTACATACACCCAGAGTACCAGCACATCCATGCTCTGACCAATGAAACTATGACAGCTGAAATATTTTTATCCTGTCAATCGACATGGCACTCATTTCTCTTCTTATTATTTTAATGTTTTTTGAAAAAAATACGTGCTCCTTGAATCTGACACCCTCTCACCTCCATCACTTTTCCGCCACAGTGCCTCTCCATTTCTTTTTTTTCATCCATTTCCCTCCATTTTCCTAATCCTAACCTTTCATTCAATCTGCGGCTGAAAAAACGCAAAGGCGCATGGCATTTAATATCTTCACATCACACCCTATCAAACCTCCCTCTTTTCCAAATTTTTTTTATGCACTCACTCTCTACTCTCTGCTTCCTTTTAATCTTTTTCTCTTATTCTCTCTCTACTTTCTCACTCCATATTATTAATTATAGGCAAAAATTAGAATAATAAAAATTTTACACAAAAACGATAAAACTATTAAAAAAGTTGCACAACATTCAATTAAGATGGTAGAAAAATTAGTTAAAAGAAGGCAGTATAAAATTGTTGTTTTCTTGTTTTGTTTCTTAAGTTTAGAATAATGACAATTTTTGGCTGGCAAAACAAAAAAGAATAATGACAATTTTTCTAAGATAACAATTTTTATTGTTTTTATGGTATTGGCGTGTTGCTCAGAAAAAACAAAGTGGACTAATACAATATTTTCAGAAAATAATAAATAAATTACTATGTTGCCCTACACTTTAAAAAATTATACTATTTTATCTCTATTTATAAGTCACTTGTATTCTAAACCCGTAAATCAAAAAATGCATTAAATTTATATTTTTTTCACATTTACCTTATTAAAAAAGTGTATTAAAAATTTGTTTCTCACTTATTCACTTTATCACTCTTTGTATTTATTAAGTCAATAGGATAAAATTAAAAAAATTCACTAATTACTTTATAAGTGACTTATATTTAGGAATAATTTTTTTCTACACAATTGACTTGTAAATAAAAATAGAGTATTAGTGTTTTAAGACTCAGGTTTAAAACCTTGCTATAAATAATAAGCTAGAAACCCCGCCAAGAGAGAATAAGAGAAGAGGGGGGAAAAAAATGGAGAAAGAAAGCGTGGGGAAAGGGAGGGAGTTTAATAGGGTGTGATATAAAGGTATTAAATGTCATGTGTTTTTGCATTTTTTTCAGCTGCAGATTATATAAAGGGCCAAGATTAGAGAAGTGGAGGG